TGGTGCTGAGCACTGGAAAATTCTGGTCCTCTACCCAGCATTTATGGCATTATGGGTCAGCGTGGTGTATCTGTAGCATTAGGCTGTCCAGCCTCTGATTCAATCTTTGCCCTGGCTGCACATGCCCAATTTATTTTGTTTTATTTGTGAAGAGGAAATTCAGGAAGAAAAAGAATACACTTTCCCCCCCTTTCTCTGCTTTTATATTTATTTTTTTTTGTCCTTCTCATCTTTCAGCCTGGGATTTACAGTAGCGTGGCCCATCCTACCCCCTTCCAAAATGCCCTGGAAAGGAGCCATCTGTGGGTTCCCTCTGTTGCTACATTTCCCAAAGAGCTTGCAGAGTGACATTAATTGTTTTGACGGCGTGCACCTATTCGCTGTCGCACACCGCTGCCACCTCTCCTGCCTTTCTGGTCTTGCCTTCCCTCATCTCATGATCTCACACTGCACTCAAATATTTGTGTACCACCAGCTCAGAGGGACTCAGAGCCCTCCGAGCAGAGATGTCCCAAAGTCATTCCAGCGTGGGGAGCGCATTTCATCCTTATCTTGTGTACAGATGGGACCCGCCCGCTCCGCTTTATCAGAACCGGCTCCTCTCTGGATTCTTCCCCCTGGGTTGGCTGTGCAGGATTGGAGCACAACGTCCCCTCCACGTTCCCTTTGCCGAGGTACAAGTTGTTGGCTGCACGAGGAACTGACATTCAGTGCTGCTCTCTCTTCTCCACCAAAGCCATGGAAATCTGCTGGACTTCCCGGGCAATATTAAATCCCAAGCAAAAGCTTTATAAAAGCTACCTCAGAACACTACCAAATTATTAGTATTCTTTCTCGTAATACAGATGAGGTCTCATTTTATTGAAAGAAAGAGAGAGAAAGAGTGTGGTTTTTTTTTTCCCCCAGCCCTCTTGGGAATTATTTTATTGAAAATATCAAAACCGGGAAGATTTCTGCGGTGCCAGGGGTCAGAATCTTTGACTAGTTTGTTGTAATGTGAACACATAAAAATTCACTCGGTGCTCATTCTCTGCCTTTTATTTAATGTACATTCCAGGTAGTTCCACTTTGATTCTTTACATTACTGTCCCTAGCACTGACATTTGCCTTGAGTGTTTTAAATTTCTTTCATGAATTCTGAAGACGGAAAAACTTCAGGAAAATCACCATTGGCTTAATATGTATTGATGTGCTATTACCAGTGGAACGAATTTTTGTTATTCCAACTGACACTGAATAAACAAGTGCTTTCTGTTTCTTCTGGGAAGCTCTGACTTGAAATATCCTTCGCTGTAATATCTCCACTTAAAAATAGCATTTTCTTACTAGCTCCCTGTGAATCATATCTGCATACCTTAATGAGTAAGTGTTTAATATTTTAATTTCTATTAATACAGAATAGTAAGTGCTGCTGGAAGTCAGCTGAAGTAAGAACTATGGCAGGCAGCTAAGTTACATTTCTCCCTGTGCATCATTGTCATCGTCACCAAGTACTATCAATATAAGGACCAGCCAACTCCTAATTTCAAAGGAACTGGGTTTTGCAGTGATTGCTAAGGGTAGAGTTGTCACGCAGACCCTTTATTGTGACAATGATTCATGAGAAGAAAAGAAATCAGCTTGATTCTCTCATCACCAGTGACATTTTCTTTGGACTGGCAGTTAAAATATTTTTTTTTTTTTGCTTATAAATAGATTACTGGTGATCTCTAAAGTCAGGTAAAGGTGACAATATGGAACCCCTGTGGATATTTATGTTAGTCATCTTTTAGCATAAACCTGGGCTGTAAAGTGAGATTTCCAAACACAACCTCGTTACCACAACTTTTTTTTTTCCCCTTTTCTTATAAAAGGAGGCAAGTTCATCTGAGCTGTGTGTTTAAATCCTGTGAAGGTTTGTGTCCAGCTCTGAATTAGGCAGTGTCTCTGATGGCAAGTGATAATCCTGATTTGGAACAACTCTGCTCCCTGAATGCTGGCTCTTCTGCAAGCTGGCATTGCTTGTTTTAGGCTGTGTTGGCCAGTGTTAAAATGCCTTTAAATTCCCCCAAAATGACAGCTAAGGAAAGTATTTGTTTTGAGGCAGATCTTAAAAGAAGGACAGCTTTTGTCTGAGATCATACACAGCATCAGGCACAAGTGCTTCTTGGGGGGTTATGAAGGCTCCATCCATGCAGCTGGGAATGCAGGAATATTGCTGATGCAAAGAGGAATGTGTTTCTCAGGGCTGCACTGTGCACCTCCATGATCTGAGATGAGAAAAACATGCCATCAGGATGTCTTTGATTGCTTTAACCTTTCTGTCCTCCACACTGAGGCAGCCCCTGGAGCCGCTCTCTTGCTTCCAGCCAAGATTCCAACCTCTTTCCAAATATTCCATTTTAAGTAAGCAGGTGGTTGAAGTCTTCCTGAGTCCAGGGACATCTTACCTCTGGCAGGGTTTAAACCACAAACAAAACAAAGGGAAAAAAAACCCACGGAAAACCAGAGTGAACCCGGGCCGGCGCTCGCGTCTCTGCTTCCGACTACGCAATCCGTGTTCTGGGAGTAAACTCAGTTCTGCGTGTTTAATCTGACACCTTTTGCAAGCAACACACTCACTCAAAACACCAGCAATGAATAAACACCACCAGCCCTCTTGTAGATCTTTGATTGGGTAGCTAATTCACAAATGATTGACTACCCAAGTAGTGGGAGCATATGGAGGCTCTGTGAGCGACTGTCAACAGGAGGAAAGTAGTCGGGGAAGCCAATTGTTAAGAACTGAAAACAATAGCGAACAAGAAAGTCCTTGAAGGAATGTGGCACTGGGGCTGCTCAAAGCCTGGATTTATGAAAACGCGGGGCCAAAACAAAAGAAGATGGCAGCATCATTTCCTATATGTGCTCCTCGTTGTTGGTTATTATTATTCCAATTTTTGACACTTGAATGAAATGTGGTATAATTGGGCTTCATAGCCGCTGCTTCAGGCGACATCAATTGCCTTTTTTAAAAATGATGATGGCGTTGAGGGAGACTCTTTTTTTCCTTTTTATGTTTGGAAGCCGCCGCGCTCTCGGTGCCACTCGTACAATACACGAAAGGGGCATTGTACTCCTGGGAGGGTCTGCAGGGCTGGGGACTGATCCCAGGAAGAAATATGAGATGGAGAAGCAAAGTAAACATACTGTAGGATGTTATGCTAAAGCTAATCCCAAGATATCCCTTCTTCTCTTTCCCTGCCTGGGTTTTCCTTACCAGTAGCTCGAGCCTTTCACTTCCTTCCCTGAGTGTGCAACATTACAGGTGTATGCCAGAAAACTCCATTCCCTGCCTTCCTTTGCTTTGATTCAGTAATCAATTCTGTCAAGTTTGAAGGACCTTAAGCTGTCATGAAAGGAAAATCATTCCCTAAACTGTGTTTATTTCTGCTACAAAAAAACCACCCCTGAATCTTTTGTTTGTATTGATAGGTATAGTGCAGGAGTTGGTTGGCTTATTTTGACTCGGGGAGGAAATCAGATGAGAAGCATTATGTTTTTCAAAGTTGTCTTCAGCAGGGGAAGGGAAGATGTGTATTCATCATTCTGCTTTTGCATGGAGAAGCAATTCTTCAGGAGGTAGAACAAATCTTTAAAAAATAATGCTGGAAATACTCTAATGACTCAGAAGACTGAATGAAGCTCTTGTGGCCGAATCCTTTGTGGGCGATAGATCCTGCTGGGCATGTTTTAAATACCGTGCCCCTCATTTCTGATACACCCCAGCACAGAGCAGCATTTCACCTCAGTGTTCCCAAGGGAACTCTGGCCCCCTCAAGGCTGCTGGGGTGTCCTGCTCTTACAGCCTGCATGTCCCCACCATTAAGATTTAGGTGGTGATGTCCAGCTGAAAGAAGCAGAGGATTTTTTTAGCTGCAGTAGGTGAAACCTTTGCCTGGATGAGGTGGAACTGGTGCTGGAGGAGAGAAGGGAAATAAGTTGAGCCACGTCCGTGTAGCTTTAAAATCAAAATATTTGCGTGTATTGAAGGCAGTTTTTCCCTTCAGACAGACCCAAATGAAGGGTCTGGATCCAAACACCCCCAAATGAAGGACCATCTGTACTGCAGCTCTGCTGTAGCTGCTTCCCAGAAAACCTGCCAAGGGATGCGCAGGATGTAGCCCTTGTGCCAGGTGCTGTCAGCAGCAGTTGGATGCTGCTTTCAGACGTCAGGAGGATCCTTCTAAAATTAACACACACCTGCAGGCCTGCACAGGTCCCCAGGTGAGCAAAACTGCTCCCCTTGCTGCTCTCAGGCAGAGAACTTTTCCCTTTTTCCAAGGCCTAAGTCTGTGCATAAAGCAAAGGAAATGCCACTCAGAAAAAGAAGGAGCATAAATGGGGAAACACAACCACAGTAACAGAAATGTCAGTTTATGATGTACAGCTTGTAAACAAGATGTGTGTGAAATCCCCCTCCACGCACACACACATGGGTATGAACTGTATTTTGGGCAGCAGTCCTTTTCATGGAATCCTTGAGTGGTTTGGGTTGGAAGGGGACCTTGAAGATCACCTCATTCCAATCCCCCTGCTGTAGACAGAAACACCTTCCACTAGACCAGGTTGCTCCAAGCCCTGTCCAACTTGGCCTTGAACACTTCCAGGGGTGGGGCAGCCATAAATTCCCTGGGCAACCTTTTCCAGTGCCTCACTACCCTCACAGTAAAGAATCTTTTCCTAATACCTAATCTAAACTACTGTCTTTCAATTTAAACCCATTTCCCCTTGTCCTGTCACTAGAGACCACTGTAAATAGTCTCTCTCCATCTTTCCTGTTGACTCCCTTCAGGTACTGGAAGGCTGCAATTCCTTACTGGGTCACACAGATGCCAGGGGTAGCCGTGCTGATAGAGGCAGGTCCTCCCCTTCTCCCAGTATCTCCTTCTGACTTTTCATTTGCACCAAAATGCCAAACTTCCATTACTTTAAGGCTCTGCCAACTGATAAAACCCCTTTCTTCTTCCTCTTCATCTTAGTGAGATCCCAAGTGGAGGATTCCTGGTGACAGCCAGCGCTACTGCCGGGATCTGGGAGCTGCCTGCGGGCGCCGAGCTGGAGCAGAGCAAGCAGAGTCAGGAGTGCTCATATTGACAGGTAACTCTTGGAACTTCATTGCCTAAAGACACAAATTTCAGAGCAGTTCTTGGGTGTAGGCGTTTAACTACTAATGATTTAGAATCTTTAAACAATTCTAAAATATTCTTTTTAATGAAATCTTTGCCGTTAACCTTTAACAGCTTCCAGTTCACAGAATGCTTTACAAGAAAGGGCAGGAAATCAATAGCTCTGAAAAGCAAAAGCAGCAGCCCTGGTGCATCAGCATGTGCATATCATAGTGGTGTGCCAGTGCCAGGCATTGCCCAGGGCAAGCAGGGGGTGACACACAAGAGCTGTCCCTATGCCTGCCTCATTCCTGCATCATAATCTGGCTCATGGGAAAAGGGAGGATGAGGGTTGGTTTTCATCACCAAGCCATTAGCAGGGGAACCTGGGGAAGTGATGTTTGTCCACACAGGAATCCTCACATCCACTTATTTTTGAGACCTCGTTAGTGTGAGTACGGCAAGCAAGATTTTGACCTGTTTTTGGTGTTGTGCTGGTCCTGGAAATTCTTGTTACTTTTGTGGCTCTACTACAAGTACTATAAAACAGGAAAAGACTTAAAAATTAATTTATCTTCTTCTCAACCTCAATTTGTATCTCTATGCAAACAAACAAAACACACACACCCCCATAAACCCCCTGTTCAGTGAGCTTTCCTGCTTTCCTTTGTTCAGCTTTTCCATGCTTTTGTCTTAGATGTTAGAAGGTTGGACACAAGGTCATCCACAACCCATTTCATGTGGATATAGCAAGTCAGTTCAGGTCTTCTCCCCCTCCCCTCAATTCATCTGAAAGCTCTGCTGTGCAGTAATGGGGCTGAAAAAACAGCCCTCGTGGTGCAAAATAAAAATGCTGCCGTTCCACAGGACTGCTGGGAAAGGATGTCCCAGGTGAGTGTCTGTGCAACTCAAAGTGGGTTGTTTGGATATGTCACATATGACTTCAGCAGTAGATTAGTGTGAGTTTGAACCCTTTTAAGCAGAAGCCGGGAAGGGGTTAGAAATACTTCTGTCATCAATAATTACAGGAACTTCTGTTCAGCCTTTGCTGCTCCTCACGGCCTGGGACATCCTCCTTGTGGAGCCCAGGGAAGGGCAGTTCAGGGAGGATATTATTCAGGGGTGTCACAAACCCCCAGCGTGTGTCACTTGCCGATAGCAATTATTGTGGTGGCAGGGCTCTGCCCAAATGTTGCCATGGATATGGGCTGTGATCTCCTGTGAGTTGTTTGCCCAGTTTCTGGAGCTGACTCCTCTGTGTCTTAAACAATTATTGAAATCTATATGCTCGCTTTCCCTGTCTGTAAAAATGGGCTGACTCCCCTCACTAGTGTATTTGGAGAACAAATTAATAATGTCAGGCACTCAAGAGGAAAAGTTTTTCAATGTACATTTGGTCTGCAAAACTGCTCAATATTGTTATTATTTATTATTCTATGGACTCATCACTCTCAGCTCCCTTCTGCCAGAAGCTGCTTTGAAAGATGGATAAGTTGCACAAAAATTATTTTCCTTCGGTTTTCTTTGTGAGAAGGTTTTAAATGCAGCGTGGGGAGGGGTGTTTTTGTGAGGGAGGGCAAAGGAAGACAAGCTGCTGTGATTAAATGAGTTTGAAAAGGTGGAACCAAGGAAAAATAACTTCACACCTAAAATTCAGATCGCTGTATTACCAAATTTTTTACTCAGATAACAGGCAGAAATACATAGGAGTATAAACAATCCTTTTACTACCTGCAGATATGTTTACAACACTTGGGTTTTCTCTCTGTGCTGTCTTTCCCTCCTCGCTGGTACAGAAGAAGTAGAAGGCAGGCAGAGATGTGAAAAGCCCTAATTACTGTTTGTGAATTCTGTGTTTGAGTTGGCTGATAGATACCAGCATTGCTCCTGTCTCACTCCCTACTTCCAGTGCCTTTCCATCTGGTGCAGCTCGGGCTTTACGCTCCCTCAGGTTGATGTGAAAACTCCTGTGAAAGCAGAGTCATTGATTTTTTTGTAGGTTTAGTGCCAGAGCAATTTTAGGTGGCACAAGGCTGATTTCCTTGACTTTCGCTTTCCTGCTCTTGATACTTCTGTGTCAAACTCAACACCTTTCCCAACACTATCCTCCTCCTCATAATAACAAAGTACTCAGCACCTCCTCCTCCTCACTAGCGCTGTCAGCAGGAGCAGTGGAAGGGTGCTACAGGCGACTGTGTTTGTTTTGACAGTGCCAACTTTCAAAAGAATCTGCTGAGTTAGTGGGAGGTCTCTGTGTGTTTGTGTTTCTAAACATAATTGTTTAATTTGGGGATATTTCACCACCGCGCATCTCGTGGGGAAGTTACAGCCTGGACTTCAGTTCCTGCTTGAGAGAGACGTTGTGGTGAAGAATTTGATGTGCTGCAGCTCTCTCTCATTTTGGAGACAGCTGATGACATGGAGGGACTTTTCCAGGTCTTCCAGTTAGTTGGTGATAATGGAATAAGTAGTGGGGAGATTATTGTCCTGTGTTATTGTAAAAAGTCAGCTGAAGGCTCCATTTTGGTGTCATGGATGTAACCATTTATCACAGTAAAATATCTCTGTAGTATCCATGGCCAAACCAGTGGGATCAGGATCAGACCCTGGAGCTGTGTGTGCTGCCAGGAATGGTGGTCACAAAGACACCCGAAAGGGATTCTGCCTGAGTTAAAGGGTATCACTGTAGACAGATTCTCACATATTGTCTTTCAGGTGTCAGTGACAGGAGGTGCCATGATTTATGACGTGGCACAGGAATCCCTGATTAATTGTGTGGCACTGCTGATGTGCAGGACATGACGTGCAAAGTGTTTTTTCCCAAGCATTTTATAAAACGCAGTAGGCAGGGAATGGACTGGGAGGCTGAAGTCCCGACACTGGGGCTGCCTGCTCACAGAAAGTGTGTTAAATCATCCCTTTAGTCCTCCAGCCACTCTCTCATCCCACTTAGGGGGCTTATCCCTCTCCTCTGAGTGCTCAGGGAGATCAGAGCCCAAGCCCTGCTCCTCGGGCTGGTGTCAGTGACACGCACAGAGCAAATGCCTTCAGCAAAATCTCCGTGGCACCGAGGCCATTTACATAGAGCCAGCAGGGCTATTTAGGTAGGTGCCAACCTGAAAGCTCCTTATTTCTGAGCTCCTTCAGGACTCAGACCTTGCAAGAGACCAAATGTAAGTGGATAAAAGGCTTTTGCACATGTAAGTCCAGTGGCCCCTTCACACCGGTGATAGAAGAAATGGAGACTCTGCCCAAATTCTATTGAAAGAAAATCCTGCATTTTAATCAGTGGATTTCCCCCATTTCTCTGCATACTATTGTTTCTTTTTATTTTGCAGTGTGCCTGCTCGATTCATGAGGCATTTTTGTGTCCTTTCCAAAATGTGGGATAGGCAGTGAACTCAGCTTCAGAGCCATAAGCCTTTTTCTTCCCCACCTAAAAAAAATCCCACCTGCTCTCTCTTTATATATTACCACCCTGCCAACAGCTGAGATAGGGATGTAGGGAGACAGAGAGCGTATCTGTGAGTGTGCTGCTCATGCTTATATCCCAAATGAACATGACATTATCTTTGAACTTAAAACCACTTCTTTGAATAACTACATTTTTTACACAGCACAACAGTGAGCCTCAGCTTATAACAAAAATACATCTGCAGAGGGAACTGGAGTTTCGCCTGCAGGGACTGGATCTGCCTGTTTATCAGTTTGTGCATACAGGGATGAACCCTGCAGTGGTCCTGCCCAAAAATGAAACTAAGGGAATTGTGGGCAGCCCTGTGTGCGAGGGGATTAGGGAGGGGGAGGACTTCCAAAGGGAAAGGCTGCAGCCCAAAACTCAGGTTTCCTGAGGGTGGTGCAAAGGGCTGCTTCTTCCTCCTGGAAGTTTGGTGGCAGTGGAGCCTGTTCTAATCTTGAGCTGGGACTGTTCTCCCTCCTGCCATCCCCACTCTGTGCATTTGACAGTCTGTGGTCTGATCATCTGTGTGAGCTCCTTGGAGACACCCATCCACGTTGAGCCAGAGGACATATATCTCTTGCTCTCTCCTTTTGTGCACTGAAAGGATATTGTTTTGAAAGTCACACTGTACAACAGCCATTGCAGAGGGTGACTCTCAGCTCCTCTGCAAACAGAAGAGAGCTTTGCACGCAATTCAATATAAAACAAGGTTATGTCTTTAATTAAATTATTTAATCCCCCTTTTTTTTGAGAGAGAGAAAGTCTTTTTTATGAGTTTAGAAACAAGGAGGCAAAAATTCAGGGGTTTTGTTTTTTCAGGCTTGAATTTCTTCAGTCTCCTTGTATTGCTCATTTTCCTGCTCTGTGTTTATACTTCTCTTCTGGGGAAAGGGGATGGCACTTATTTGTCTCCATAACATTTGGGATATGGGATGTAGTCTTATTTATAAAATATTCTGTGCACTGGCAGTTGTAAGAATGAAGTGTAAGCCCCCAATATCTCTGTCTTATTAATTTTGGCATTAGCAAGACATGTAATTTTTACAGCTGAAGGTGGCTTCTCCTTCTTAAAACAGTCCTTCCTGTTTCACGAGGTGAGCTGCGTTTCTGCTCTCTGAGGGGAATGGCCTGGAATTCACAAACCAGAGCTGAATGGCAAAAAAAAGGGGGACAGAGAAATTAGGAAGAATGGCCAGATAAGCCAGACGCATGCACTGGGTTTTTCCTTCAGCCACCAGTCACACCGTGGTCCCCATTTCCAGGCGAGCCGAGCGAGGCAGGAAGACGAAAAGTAACTCTGATCCCATAAAAAGCTGGAACTTGAACAGGAATCCAATTAGCTCCTTTGTTTTAACATTAAACTGCCTCGCCTTGACCCGAGCCCACAGGTAGTGTTCCCGTCCATGGCTGTTGTCAGGCAGTTGTATGAATGTGTTACAGAATTAAATAATGTGGCATTGTGCTGGATGAGTAGCACTTACGCACTAAATTATCACAGCTCTCCCTGACCTTGGCAGCATCATGGGGTTCAT